ACATTCCCATCTTTTCTCTCCCTTGTCCTCTCCTCCTACGCGGCCACCTCACCAAGCACTCAAAATCTCACTGGCCACCGTACTTCGGTGGCCATCTCCCTCCGCTCTCCCTTCACAATGGTTCGACGTCCAAAGCATGGCCCCATGTCATGAACATGGAGAAAAAGGGGAAGAATTTAGGGATTATAATTGGGAATCTAGGGATTTCACGTAAAAGAGGGGAAAATGAAAACTGACCTAGAGAAGGCCCAAGCAATGATACCAGTAGAGGAATAGATGGGGCTTGCTGTTGAACAACCCACTACTTGAAGAACAGCTTGAGCAAAGGTTGTCTGCTAGTACTGCCAGTTGTATAGAATAATTCTGTTAGATTTTTGTACTGAGGGAATATAAGCAACACGAATGTAATAGGAAATTATTTTGGCAAATCTAATGGAAAGTTCTTCTTCTTAAATCTATTCCTCTTTTCTCAAATTCTCAAAATTTATATTTGATTTCATTACTTGTTATAACAATTGGTAATCGGATCTTATTTAAAGATCCAACGCCAAACTGGGTAAGTAAAAGAAAATTCAACAGATGGGTGAAATTGTTGAACCATAAAGAATTCACGAGGAAGCAGGAAATGAAACTTGGATTCCTAAATAGGGGAAAGAACAAAAAGGAGAATGGGAAATCTGAATGAAGACTCTGGAAGATAGGATGGATGAAACCCAAGGATATTTGCAAAAAATACTGAGCTGTGTACCCAAGGTGAGTGATGAACCTGAGCAGAACACTCGTGAAATGACCAGGTAATTGGTACATCTCTGCAAAAGTCTGAAGGAAAAAAGCCTACATAGGTGACAGTGATAAATGAGCATGAAAAATATTCTTTTTACCCTGAAGGATCTCGAGTATTAGCTCCTAAACCAGAATACTACAAACCACCTATTCCACCACGACAAGACCATAAATTGAATTTAGAATGGAATAATTATCAAGCTAAGAAGCACTTCAATCTCTAAAGACCCATATTTGTATGAGAAGAGTGTACAAAATCAAACCTTAACACTAAGAACCAAGATAGAATTACAGATGTTTGAAGGTGATAACCCAAGGAGTTGGATAAAGAAATGCCAACAGTACTTTTCCATTTTTGCAATTCCCGATGAACAACAAATGGAAATAACAATAATGTATTTGACAGGTAAAGCTGAAAATTGGTATGATGGATATATTATGCAGAAGGGTCAAGTTACATGGCAAGGATTCATGGGAGATTTATGTAGCAGGTTCTGTGACAAGAATTATATTAATGTGATTGAAGAATTTAGTAAACTTCTACAAAAGTTAACAGTGGAAAGCTATCAAGAGAAATTTGAGGAGCTCAAACCATTCATGCTGCAACATAATTCCTATATAGGGAAAACTATTTTCTGTCCATGTTTGTGAGTAGGTTAAAGGAAGAAATTAAACTTCGGGTAAGGATGCATGAACCCAAATGTCTAGATGAAGCTTATAGGAAGGTCAGGTTGTGTGAACTAGTATTAGAGATTGAAGGAAAAAAGAAGCAACACTCACTCAAAAGTTACTACCAGGGAACATCTTCTCAAGCACAAAAGTTTTCTGGTACACCACCGATCCAGAAATTTCCAACCACAAATCCTCCAAACAAACAAACTTTGATTGATTATCAAAGATCACACAACCTGTGTTTTAAGTGTGGAGAAAACTTCACTCCTAGTGATCAATGCAAACTCAAACAGTTTAATATGATGGAGGAGGAAGAAAATATAGAGGGAAATGAGGAGGAGAGTAAGGAAAAAGAATCTAAAGATAAGGAAAAATGGGCCTTAGAGATTTTCATTAATGCTCTTACTGGTAGTGTGGGACACAACACTCTGAGACTTCAAGGAGTGATCAAAGGGAAATCCTTGAACATTTTGGTGGACAGTGGTAGTACACACAGTTTCATTATTCCAAGATGGGCTAAGGAATGAGTGGAAGTGGAACAAACACATCCTTTGGCTATCACAGTTGCTAATGGAGAGAAATTATTTAGCACTTCCAAGAGTAACAAACTGAGTTGGAAAATGCAAGGGAATGTCTTTGAGTATCATTTTAGAGTTTTTGAATATAGGGGAAGTGACATGGTGTTAGGAGTTGATTGGATGAGTCAATATATTCCAATTCTTATGGATTTTAAGGAGTTGACTATGACTTTTAAAATAGGGGAGAAAGAGATTAAGATAGAAGGAAAAAAGAGGTGTTCACCCATTAAATTTATTTTAGAATCCGAACGACCAAGGATTACTGAAAAAGATCCACAAGTGATAGGAGAAGCATATTTCTTGAACATGGAAGTAGTAGAATCCAACATTCCAGTTGAACTACAACCATTAATAGAGGAGAATCAAGATATTTTTGAAGAACCTAAGAAAATGCCTCATATTAGAAGCCATGATCATGCAGTGATACTCAAAGAATGAGCTCAACAAGTAAATCTTAGACCATACAGATTTCCATACCCACAGAAGGCAGAAATTGAAAAATAGATTAAGGATATGTTATCCGCTTTAATTGTTCAGACCAGTAAGAGTCATTTTGCTTCACCTTGCCTTATTGTAAAGAAAAAAGTTGGGACATGGAGGATGTGTTTGGATTACAGACAATTAAATACTATGACAGTAAAGAACAAATTCCCAATCCCAGTAGTAGAGGATTTGATGAATTAATTAGTAGAAGCTTCTTATTTTTCTAAGGTGGATTTGAGATCAAGATATTGGCAAGTAAGGGTTAAAGAGTAGGACATTACCAAAACAACCTTTAGGACACACCATGGGCATTATAAGTTTAAGGTATTGCCCTTTGGGTTAACAAATGCACCTGCCACTTTTCAAGCACTAATGAATGAATTATTTGGTCCTTATTTGAGAAAGTTTGTGTTAGTATTCTTTGATGATATTTTGGTGTATATCCCTAACCTTTCAGCTCACAAGCAATATTTAAAGGTGGTGATGGAAATTTTAAGGACCAATCAACTGTATGCCAAAATGAGTAAATGTTTTTTTGGATAACCTAGAGTGGAGTATTTGGGGTATGTAATTTCTGCAACAGGGACTTCTATTGATCCTTCCAAAGTTGAGGCAATGTAGCAATGGCTAGTACCAAAGAATCTCAAGTCCTTCATAGGCTTCCTAGGACTTACATGATATTACAGGAAATTCATAAAGGGGTATGGAGAACTTAGTAAACCCCTGACCAGTTTACTAAAAAAGGGAACATTTATTTGGAACACTAAAGCAGAAAAAACATTCAATAAAATGAAGCAAGCTATGTGTGAAGCTCCTGTACTAGCTCTTCCCAATTTCAGAAAAACCTTTTGCTTGGAGACTGATGCAAGTAAAAAAGGAATATGGGTTGTGTTGACACAGGAAGGAAGACCCTTGGCTGACTTGAGTAAGGCTATAGGACCAAGGCATATGGATTTATGAAAAGGAGTATATAGCCATACTCATGGCAGTGTCTAAGTGGAGACATTATCTAGAAAATGACTTTCATAATCAAGACGGACCATAAACCTTTGGAGCACTTGTTGGAGCAGAAGTTAATCACTACCATTTAAAAAAAAAGGTTATCCAAACTGCTGGGGTTGGATTATGTAATAAACTATAGAAAAGGTAGATTGAATGTGGTTGCAGAAGCTTTGTTCAGAAGATTTGAAGACGAGAAGGATGTTCAAAAAATGAAGAGGAAGGGAAGTGCTTGCAATTAACTACTACTATGCTAGTTCCTGAATGGGTTAAGGAAATTGAGAACAACTACAATGGGGATATTTTAGCTCATAAATTTATTACAAGTTTAATAATCGACTCCAATGAAGAGTCTGATTGGAAGTTAACCAAAGGGGTGCTGAGGTATAAAAATGTAGTTTACATTGGGGAACATGGAAATTTAAGAAAAAATATATTGGAGTGCTTGAATGATTCCCCTCAAGGAGGACATTATGGAATTCGAGTAACCTACCAAAGAATCAAGCCTTATTTTTACTAGAAAGGATTGAAGACTCAAGTGAAGAATCATGTGATGAATTGTGAAGTATACCAAAGAACAAAAGGGGATAATGTGGCAACACCCGGCTTGTTGCAACCTATTGCTATTCCTAGTCAAGCATGGGAAGTTATTAACATGGATTTCAATGAAGGACTACCACAATCAATGAAATCCACATGCATACTAGTAATAGTGGATAAGTATTCCAAATATGGTCATTTCCTAGCCATATCCCATCATTATATAGTAATTGATATAGCTAGGACTTATTTGGATCAAGTTTATAAGTTGCATGAACCTCCCAAAGTAGCCATATATAATAGGGACAAGACTTTCACAAGCCTTTTTTGGAAAGAGATGATGAAACAGCTTGGGACTACAACTCTTTTCAGTACAACTTATCATCCAGAGATAGATAGGCAGACTGAAATATTGAACCAATGCTTGTAGCAATACTTGAGAAGTATGTGTTTCCTCAAACCTGGTAGTTGGGTAAAATGGTTACCATTGGCTAAATGGTGGTACAATACTAACTATCATACAACCCTAGGTATTACCCCTTTTGAAGCATTGTATGGGTACAAGCCTCCAATGATTACTTGGACAAACAACACTAATGTCAATTTAGTACAAGAGATGATGGTTGAAAGGGAACAATTAAAGATGTTACTTAAAGAAAACCTAGCTAAGGCCCAAAATCGTATGAAGCAGAATACATACAAGAACAGAAGTGACAGAGAATTCCAAGAGGGAGAGAATGTTTACCTCAAACTAAAACCCTACAAACAATATTCAGTAGAAGTTAGCAGCAAAGTACTACGACCCTTACAAAATTAAGAGGAGAATAAGATCAATTGCGTATCAATTGGAATTACCAACCCATTCTAAAATTCACCCTGTTTTCCATGTAAGTTTGTTGAATAAAAAGGTGGGTGAATGAATAATTACCTCGAAGAATCCTCTGGAACTCAGTGATGATGGACAGATGAAGGTCTATCCTACCATTGTGCTCAACAAGAGAATGATGAAGAGGCAGAACAAGGTTGTTACACAATTGTTGATACAGTGGTCAAACCTGGGAGCAAAAAATGCAACTTGGGAAGATTATACAGTATTAAAGTCTTAATTTCCAGACTTTAATCCTTGTGGACAAGGATCAATTGAAGGGGAGGGAAATGTCATGAACATGGAGAAAATAGGGGAGAATTTAGGGATTGTAATTGGGAATCTAGGGATTTCACGTAAAAAAAGGGGAAAATGAAAACTAACCTGGAGAAGGCTCGAGCAATGATACCAGCAGAGGAACAGATGGGGCTTGCTAATGAACAACCCACTACTTGAAGAACACCTTGAGCAACGGTTGTCTGCTAGTACTGTCAGCTGTATAGAATAATTCTATTAGATTTCTATACTGCGGAAAATATAAGCAACATGAATGTAATGGGAAATCATTTTGGCAAATTTAATGGAAAGTTCTTCTTCTTAAATCTATTCCTCTTTTCTCAAATTCCCAAAATTTTGATTTGATTACGATTCAAGTTATAACACCCAACTGACCCTCGCAACAAAACCTGACACACCCTTCTCAAATCCAAACCGAGATTCAAGAACTAAACAACCCCTTTCTAAACACTCGACCAAACCACCCTAAGCCCCTTTCCGACGAAGTAACTCCGGCGACGAGAGGGGAGGCCTTAACCGGACAGGTGAAACCAATTTCCTCTTTATTTGTTTTTTTTTCGAATGCAAATAAGGTTGGAAGTCTGGAATGAAAAGTGCTTGGTTGAATACCTTGAAAGTTGTTTTTTTTTTCTATTCCCTTTGCATGGTTTGAATACACAAAAAATCTAGAAGAAAAGTTCTCCCCCTTTGGCATTGCTTGATTTCATACATAAATACGGGAATCCCCTTTTGTTTTTTTCAGGCATAGGTACCCATATTACAATAAAATGGAAGAATGACTCTTTGTTGTTTTTTTGCGTGTTGTGGCCAAAAAAAAGAGAGGAATGACTCGGTTGAACCATCGACGGCGAGACTCGGGTGGAAGCTTGCTGGAGGCTCGACTGGACGCGAGGTGGGAGCTTGCTAAAGGCATCGGCACCTAAGGTCTCACTTAGGATTTGCCAAAACCCTAGGTTGTATGTTGGGCTTCATTTGTTTGGGCCGATTTGTAATTGTTTGATTTAGGTTAATTTGGGTCAAAAGTGGGATGCGGATTGGGTTATAATGTTTGGATATTTGTAATGCTTTATTTGAGTTGTTGCATTTGGGGTAACGGGTTTACGAGTCTTGGTTTTGGTCTGGTAAGTGAATCATGGGTTTAGGTAATGGCCATTTGGTTGTAATTGTACACTTGAACAAGTATTTAGTGTTTCAGCTTCAAATAATTTCAAAGTTGTCCTATTTAAGAAAATAGTGAAAAAAATTAAAAGTTAAAAAGTATGATAAATATTAAAAGATAAATAGTTAATTGAGTTGTTATCATTTCTGTAATTAGTTAGTCAGGTTTGTTGGATCGTATGCCTTTTTAGACTATTTCTATTGTTTTTAATTTCTAGTATAAATATAATTATTATATGTACTTTTCGTTTTATATGTAATTGATGTTATGCTACTTATTGAGTTTTTCTTTATAAATTCAATTTCCAATTGAGTTGTTACAGAACTTTATGAACTTCAACCAAGAAGCTTATCTATGTTTCGCTGATAATTAATGTTATCGATCGCCACTTGCATGGTCTCATAAACTTATTTACATATTCGTAGCCATTATGAACTTCTGCTATGTTTGGATAGAACGTAATAAATGAAAAAGAAAAAGAAAAAATAAGAATGGAAAATAGAAGAGAGAAATGTAAAGGATCTATGTATTTTCTTTAGATAATCAAAAGGTTTAAATGCACTATTTCCCTTGAATTATATTATTTGTATCGAGTTTTCCATAGTCTTTTTCAGAATATTTTGTGTCCTTAACTATAAATCAAAACACGTCACATCATCTTTTAATTTTTAATTTTTATCTAAATAAATAAAAATCAATTAAAAATAAAAATAATCAATATCCCTAAAATACCCTAAAACACCTCTCTTCCCCTCCCACCTTCTTCTCCCCATCTCAATCTTAAAACCAGAATCCACCCCTGTTCTATCTCATGTCTTCCAACTCCATTAATTTCAAAATCAAGTCGAGTTGATTGCACAAACAATTGGGGGGACAAGGGTTACCTCAAAAACATATTAATGAACACCAAGGGCCACTTGCATGTGTCGTAACCGTCCTTCGGGTGGGTCCAGAGTCGAACTTCAACTTAAATAAATGTGTTAGAGTCGTCACTGATCATTAGGTTGACCGAACATTTTAATTTACTATCTTACCTGATCTGCGTTTTACCATAAATAAATCGGATTCGGGAGTCGATTACAGTCAATGAAGGATTAGCACCCTTGTACTGCCCTTTCGGTACCAATTTAATTTTTCGGTTGTCTTAGTTGCGAAAGTTAAAAGTTAAATTAAAATTTAAAATTCGATCCAAATTACTTATCTTTGGTCGATTAAAATTCCCCAAAAAAAGTCAAAAGACTGTTAGATCGTAAAATAAAATAAATAAATGTTAAAAAAAATCAAAGAGAATTTTTTTAAAAGAGGTTAAATTAAGAAATAAAAATAAAAATAAAGTTAAGATAAAAAGAAAGAATAATAAAGTAAAAAATATTAAAAGAGAAATAAATAAAAAATGAAGAAAATGTTAAATTATAAAAGAAATTTAAAATAAATAATTAAAAATTAAGAAAATGTAAAGTTTAAAAGAAATTTAAAATAAATAATAAAGAAAATTTTATTTTTTGAAAAAATAAAATAAAAAAAGAAATGTTAAATTTTAGAAGAAATAAAAATAATAAAATTTTAAAAAATGAAGAAAATGTTAAAGGATCAAATTGGAACAAATTGAAATTTATGGATCAAATTGATGCTAAAAATGAGCTGCAAGAGCAAAACAAAATATAAGGGGACTAAATTGCAAAATATAAGAAATAAAGTCAAGGATTAAATTGGAATAGAGGGTAAATTCGTAACAGGTGACCAAAATGAATTACAATTCAAACTTCCAGGGACTGCATAAATAATTTAAGAATCTTGTGTTTACAAAGTAGAACTCACTATAAATACCCCAAAATAACCAAAAAATCATTTTTATCTTATGATAAAAAAACTCTCTCTAAAATAACCTCTCAACCCAAACCTAACTGGCCTAGCGTCGGTCGCCCTCCGGTGGAGCCCCACCACCACCAGCCGTCGTGTCGGCCACTGCCTCCATTGTCTGAAAATTCAAACACTCCTCCCAACGCCCTGATCCCGAAACCGAGCCCCAAATTCCCTAAAAAATCCCCAAACGACGTAGATCTACGCTTTAAGTTTCGAACTTTACCTTTAGTCCGGTGACTTTTGAAATTCTAGTGACCTTTAGCTTCACTCCGGCAGTGAAAAGCTTTCTCCTTTGTGTTGGAACTTCCTTTTTTGGTGATTTTTATTTAAAATGCTTATTTTCCTCGTAATACTTGTTGCTCGATGTTCGGTATGTTGGTTTTTTGTATGTCTTGTTCGGTTGATCATTCGGTGTTAAGGCTCTTCGCGTGGCTGCCATGTGATTCGACTTTTGCTCTATTTTCTTGGTGTGTTCTTTTTGCTCTGGTTTGTTCGATGTTGTTGTGGATTTTTCTGTCATTATTGCTTGGTGATAATTTTCTTGTTGTTTGCTAGTTTTTTCGATGGTATTTCTCTTAGTGTTGTCAACAGCTTTGGTGGGGGTATTTATACGCCACTGTCGGAAGCTATTTCTGGTTGTTGTGGTCCCGAAAATGGCGGGATTCATGTGGGTTATTCGTGGTTCATGTGGCCAGAAATCTTGGGATGGTGCAGTCCCGGGTTGTTCGATCGAAAATCTCGGTCGATTTTACCCCTGATCTGCTGTGGTTGGCGGCACTCCTTAGCCCTTGCTTGGTTGTTGACCTTTCTTGGCTAAGCATAAAACCCTAAACTAATTCGGGCTAGGTCATACCCCCAAATCGGGCCTACTTTGCTAGGTCAGGCTGGTATGACCCGATTTGACTTTGTTTGTTGTATTGTTTGGACCTAGTTTGACTCTCTGGATGTAGACCAAATAAAAAAATAAAAAAAATATAAAATAATAAAAATAATACATAATAAATATAAAATTATAATATAAAAATATATGATATAATATATAGATATAAATAATAATATAATATAATATATAATAAAACTATATAATATTATATTTTCGAAAATAATATCTTTTCAAAAATTATATATTATTTGTTTCCAGAAAACAATCGTTTTAAAAAAACTATATATGTTTTCAAAATATGTTTTTAAAATTATATTATATACGTTTTCAAAAATCATTTTTAAAACTGTATATTATACGTTTTCAAAAATGTGTTTTCAAAACTATATAATATATGTTTTCAAAAACGTATTTTCAAAATCATATTATATATTTTCAAAAACTGATTCTTTTAAAAAGTATATATGATATGCTTTCAAAAACGTTTTCTAAAAACTATATATTATATGTTTTCAAAACATATTTTCAAAAATTGCATTATATTATACTAAATAAACCTTGAACGAAAATGAGTGACTATAGCATGGTCTCTTAAATTTATTGTTACATATTTGTAGTCATTATGAACTTCTACTATGTTTGGATGGAACGTAATAAATGAAAAAGAAAAGGAAAAAATAAGAAAGGAAAATAGAAGAGAGAAATGTAAAGGATCTATGTATTTTCTTTATATAATCAAAAGGTTTAAATGCACTATTTCCCTTGAATTATATTATTTGTATCGAGTTTTCCATAAAGTCTTTTTCAGAATATCTTGTTCCCATAACTATAAATCAAAACACGCCACATCATCTTTTAATTTTTAATTTTTATCTAAATAAATAAAAATCAATTAAAAATAAAATAATCAATATCCCTAAAATACCCTAAAACACCCCTCTTCCCCTCCCACATTTTTCTCCCCATCCCAATCTTAAAACCAGACTCCACCCCATTCTATCTCATGTCTTCCAACTCCATTAATTTCAAAATTAAGTCGAGTTGATTGCATAAACAATTGGGGGGAAACACCAAGGGTTACTTCAAAAACATATTACTGAACACCGAGAATGATTGAATTTGAAAGGCTAAAATCCTCACTTCTCTTTCATTGCACATTAAATTTGGACTAGAATCAAAGGGAATGTGGAGGCATCTTCAATGTCATAAGTATCTCCATTGATTCAGAGTTTCAAGTTGTTATATTTAAAAAGAAATATTTTGATGATCTTTTCTTTTATCGAATAAAATGATGTGTTTCATGACGGATGAAGCCATGGTTTTGAAAGTCATTGGAAGCCATGAAAGACAAAAACTCTGTGAGCTTTGATGTCTAAGTCATTGATTTTCACTAAGGATAACTTGTTTGACTTCTTAAATGTGACCACAACTGAACTACGAGCCATTTTATAACAGGTGAGAGAATCACTAGATTTAACAAAATCCAAATCAAATCTTCTCCTCAAGTCACTAAATTAAAGAAATCACAAAAAAAAGAAAAAATAAGGGTTTCTCCAACAAGGGCTAAACAAGTTCTTATCAATCAGGGTCATTAAATTAACCAATATATTATGCTTAAAATTTCTAGAGTTAAATAGTTAGGGTTCCTTTATGACCAATTTAGTGTTAAAATACTTGTCAAAGTCTAAACCAAATTGTAACCCCCTCGGACCGATGCGAGTGACCTGATTTGAACCGAGGTATCACATTAGGGCCACCAGAGCGACCCACCCATCGTAAAATTACCAAAAAAAATTAAAATTTTTGTTAAAACACTTAAAATCATAAAACAATTTATAAATACAAAAGTAAAATTTTCTAATATTCAAAAATAAAACAAACTTCAGACTCGTATATAAAACAAAATACAACCTATATGCCCCCTAATCACATGCACCGTACTCTGAAAGCAACACCGGTGAAACTCCTTTACTAATGTCGAAAGTTGCATTGGATCAA